CATTCACACACACACACGCACACACGCACAACAACACACACCAACACACACTCACACACACACACCCACACCAGACACACGCACACACACACACGCCACACATACACACCACACACAACAACCCACACACACCCACACACACACACAAACACACACACACACACACACACACACGCACACACGCACAACACACACACACACCACACACACACACGCACACACATCACACGCACACGCACCACAACACGCACACACACACACACACACGCACACATACACACACAAACACACACCCACACACACACCACACACCAACACCACACGCACACAAGCACACACCACACACAAACAACACACACACACACACACACGCCACACATACACACACAATACACCACACACACACACACACACACACACACACACGCAAACACGCACACACGCACACACACACACACACACACACACCACACCGCACACCACAACACACCACACACACAACACACACATACACACACACACATCACGCACACACACACACGCACACGCACACACACACACGCACACACACACACACACACAGAACATACACACACACACACACTCAACACACACACACACACACACGCCACACACACACACACTCACACCACACAAACACCGCACGCCACGCATATACTACAGGCCTAGTGTCTAATCGACCATGTGCCTAGGGGACAAAATGGTAACTAACACGATAACCACGACACATTTTCATTCTCATCTTTGTCTAAACATCTGATATTTATATCAAAATGGTTTATACAATACCGACAGGTTGGTAGGTAAGACACATAGGCAACAGTTAGGCAAACATTATCCGCGAAACGTTTCGCCTACACAGTAGGCTTCTTCAGTCGAATCAGAAAGTTGGCAGGTACAGTATAGATGTGAAAAACGATTGTAATTAGTCATCAACCCTTGAATCGTAGAATTTGAGGTTGTTTCAGTCCCCAGCTGGAGAAGTTCAGTTCCATAGTCAGGAACTATTGGAGAGGAGACCTGACCTCACAGTGGCTACATTCTCATACTACTTCTACTCTGCACCTCTCCTTCCGACAGTATTTTAAGTCGCCGCACTGTCGCTTGATCTTCAGATTCAGTTTCCTGAATATGGAAACTGGAACTTCTCCAGGCTGAGGGACTGACAACCTCAATATTCTACGACTTCAAGGTGTGATAACCGGATGATTACATCGTATTAATCTCTACTGTTCTGCCTACTTTCTGTATTCGACTGATGAAGCATACTGTGTAAGGCCGAACGTTTCGGGAATAAAGTTGCCTAACTGTTGCCTATGTGTCTTACCTACCAATCACTGATATTTATTGCACGGGAAGTAAATCGAAAATAAAGATATTTCTTAGCGTAATTTTTGACTGACTCTGAAGTTTCCTACAAAACTTCACAACAGTGTCTCCCACAATGTCTCCCACAATGTTCCCAACAATGTCTCCCACAAATGTCTCCCACAATGTCTCCCCCAAATGGTATTTATGTTGTAAACAAAACTATTACATTGACTCAAAATTCCCAAAAGTTTCACATTCATATTTCACAGAACCATCACTCTCTCATCCACACTAAAAATCTTCTTATTCATAGTCGACCTTCACGATAGTCTAGATTATTGACAAAAAAGGATTTTAGCGGTGTTAGATACTGCGGTTTTTACTCATTGAATATGCCCTGCTGGACCTTAATAACTCTGGCAACAAACGCACGAAATCTTATATTTTTGTCTTTTCATCACTCTGTCAGTCTCACTAATTTTGAACATACATTGCTTGTATAATCAGCAGTAAGGGACAAACACTAATATTTTATTTAACTTAAACAATATTTTGCAATCTAATCTTACACTGTAAGCAGTTGTGAACTGTACCAGAAACAAAGACAGGGACAAAGACAGTGGTGAACTGTACCAGAAACAAAGACAGGGACAAAGACAGTTGTGACCTGTACCCAGAAATACAAAGACAGGGACGAAAGACGTTTGTTAACTGTAACCACAAACAATGTCAGGGACAAAGACAGTTGTGAATGTACCAGAACAAATACAGGACCAAAAGTCAGTTGTTAACTTGTACCACAATACAAAGTCTAGGGATCAAAGACAGTTTGTGAACTGTACCAGAATCAAATACAGGGACCATAAGACAGTTTAGTTTATATACTGTACCACAAAACAAGTCAGAGGACATATGGGACTGTGTGAAACTGTACTGTAATCAAGGGTCTGTGGTCTAAAGGATGGTCGTTTTTGTTGTTGAGTGTTCTCGTATTGGTTGATATTTGTGGCACGTATGTGTCTCGTCGTCCCTCCTAGTAAGCGGCTGCCTTAATAAGGTATTGCAGCGGCGTTGTTGGGTGATGGTCTTAGTCCTGAGCTGTGTGGACATGGCTATGTTTCGTCGTCTAGTTAACTCTAGGTATCTATGGTCATGTATCTAATGTCTATATCTGTCTGTCTCAGTAATCTATTCACTACATCTCTCTGGGTGGAGCGGGGTGGCCGGGAGGGCGAGGGGGGGGGGGGCGAGGTGGGGGGGGGGGGGGGGTGGGGGCGGGGAGGGGGGAGTGGGGGCGGAGGAGGGGATTGCGGGGGCGGGACTTGGGGGGGAGAGGGACGGGGGGGGCGAGGGGCCGGGGGGGCGGGGGGTGGGGCAGGGGGGGGGGGTGCCGCGGGAGGGGCACCCGGCGAGGAGGGGGGGGGGGGGGGGGGCGAGTGGGGTGGGGAGAGGGGGGGGGCGACGGGGGGGGGGGGGGAGGGAGGAGGGGGGGTGGGGGGGCGGGGGGGGCGGGGGGGGGGAGGTGGGGGCGGGGAGGGGTGGAGGGAGGGGGAGCGGGGGGGGGGGGGAGGGGAGGGGGGAGAGTGGGCGGAGAGCGGAAGGGGGGGGGGGGAGACAAGAGGGGGGCGGGGGAGGCCGAGCTGGGGGCGGGGGGGGGCGCGGGGGGGGGGCCGATGGGGTGGGGGGGCGGGCGGGCGGGGGAGGAGCGGGGCCGGGGGGGGGGGGCGGGGGCGGTGGGCGGGGGAGGGGGGGGGCCGGGGGGGCCGGGAGGGGGGGGAGGGCGCGGGGGGGCGGGGGGGGGGGGGGGAGGGAGGGGGGCGGGGCGGCGGGGGGGGGCGGGAGGGGGGCGGCCGGCGGGGGAGGGGGGTGGTGGGGGGGGGGGGAGGTGGGGACGGGGTGGGCGGTGGAGGGGAGGGAGCGCGGGGGAGCGGTGGCGGGGGGGGGGGGGGGGCGGAGCCGGTGGCGGGGGTGAGGGTAGGGGGGGGGGAGGCAGGGGGGGGAGGGGCGGGGCGCAGGGGGGGGGGTGGGGACGGGGTAGGTGGGCGACGCACGGGGGGGGGATGGGGGGGGGGGGGGGCTGGGGGAGGGAGGGGGGGGGGGAGGGAGGGGGGGGGGCGGACACGGGGGGGCGGGGGGGGGGGGCGGGGGGAGGGGGCGGGACGGGAGGGCATGGGGGGGGGGGGGAGACGGGGGGGAGGGGGGGGTGGGATGCCTGGGGGGGTACGCGAGGGGCCAAGGGTAAGGGTGGGGAGGTGGGGGGGCGGGGGGGCGAGGGGGGGGGCGGGGTAGGGGAGGGAGGGGGCGGGCGGGGGGGGGGGGAGGGGGGGGGGCCCGCGTGCGTGGAGAGGGGGCGAGGTGGGCCGGGGGGGGGGGGGGGGAGGGGGGCCCGGGGGGGGGGAGGGGGGCGGGGGCGGGGGGGCGGGGGGGGGAGGAGGGGTGGGGGAGGGTGGAGGAGGGCGGGGACAGGCGGGGGAAGGGGGGGGGGGTGGCGAGGGGGGAGGCGAGGCGGGGCGGGATGGATAGGCAGGAAGGCGACGGGAAGGGGTGGGGCGCAGTCGGCACCGGGGGGGGGGGGGGGGGGGGGGGGAGGCCTGGAGGCGACGCGGGGGGGGCGGGAGTGCCGGGGGCGGGGGCGGGGGCGCTGCGGGGTAGCGGACGAGGCGGGGTTGGGGGGGGGGGCGGAGGAGGGGGACAGCGGGGCGAGGAGGGGGGGGGGGCGCGGGGGGCGGGGCGCGCGGGGGGGGCGGGGCGGCGGGGGCGGGGGTGGGGCCCGCAGGGGGAGGAGGGGGGGGGGGGGGGTGGGGAGGGTGGGGGAGGTGCGGGAAGAGGGGGGGGGGGGAGGTGGGGGGGGGCGGCAGGGAGGAGGGGAGGTGGGGGGGGGGGAGGGGGGGGGCGGCGTGGAGTGGGGGGGTCGGGGGGGGGGACGTGCGGCGAGGGCGGGGAGGGGAGGCGGGGGAGAGCCCGTGGGGGGGGGAGAGGGCCGGGAGGGCGGGGGAAGTGGGGGGGAGGGGGGGGGGTCGGGGGGGGGGGGGGGACGGGAGGGAAGCGGGGGGGAGGGGTGGGGGGGGGGAGAGTGGGCAGCGGGGGCCGGGAGGGGCGGGGGGGCGGGGGGGCGGAGGAAGGGGGCGCGGGGGGAGGGGAGGGGGGGGTGTAGGGGGGGGGACGGGGTGGGCAGGGGGGGGGCGGGGGCGGCGGGAGGCGGCGGGGCGGGCAGCGATCGAGAGGGAGGGGGGGGCGGAAGAGAGGGGAGGGGGGGGGGGGGGGTGGTGGAGGGTGGGGGCGGGGAGGGGGGGGGGGGCGGGGCGGGTGGGAGGGGGGGGGGGGGGGGGGGGGCGGAGGGGAGGGGGGGCGAGCGGGGCGCAGGGCGAGGAGGGCCGGTGGCAGGGGGGGGGGGGCGGGGGGCCGGGGGGGGGGGGGGGGGGGGGAGGGGGGGGGGAGAGCGGGGGTCGGGGGCGTGGGAGGGAGGGGGGAGGGCGGCGGGGGGCGGGGCGCGGGGGGCGGAGGGGGGAGGGGCGCGGGGCGGGGGTGGAGGGGGGCGGAGGGCGGCGCTAAGGAGGGGTGGTTGGGGGGGGGGGGGGGGGGGGGGGGGGGGGGAGGGGGGGGTTGAGGGGGGGGGGGGGGGTGGGGGGCGCGGCGGGGGGGAGGTGGGGAGGGGGGGAAGGGGGTAGTGGGCGGGCGGTGGAGGCGGGGGGGGGGGAGGGGGGGGGGGGGGGGGGGGGGGGGGGGCGGGGGGGGGGGAGGGGGGGGGGGGGGGGGGGCGGGTGGGAGGCGGGGGCGGGAGGGGGGGGGAGGAGGGGGGAGGGGGGGGCGGGGGAGGGGGGGGGGGGGGGGGGCGGGGGGGGGCGGGGGGGAGGGGGGGCGGGGGGGGGGGGGAGGGGGAGGGGGGGGGGGGGGGGGGGGGCGGGGGGGAGGGGGGGGGGGTGCGGCGGGGGGAGGGAGGGGAGGGGGGGGGGTGGCGTGAGCGCGGGGGGGGCGGGGGGGGCGGGCGAGGAGTTGGTGTAGAGGGGGGCTGGGGGGTTGGGGGGGGGGAGGGGGGGGGGGCGGGGCGGGGGGGGCTGGGCGGGGGGGGGAGGCGGGGGGGGGCGGGGGTGGAGGGAGCGCGGGGGGGGGGGGAGGGGAGGGGGGGGGGGGGGGGTGGGGGAGGGGAGGGTGGGGGGGGAGAGGGCGGGGCGGGGGGGGGGGGGGGAGGGGCGGGAGGGAGGGGGGGGGGGGGAAGGAGGAGGAGGGAGGGGGGGGAGGGGGGGGGAGGGCAGGGGGGGAGAGCGGCCCGGTGGGCCGGGGCGGGGGCGGGAGGCGGGGGGTGTGGGGAGGGGGGCGGGAGGGCGGGAGGGGGGAACAACCGGGGAGGTGGTCACGGGGCTGGGGGGGGGGGGGCGGGGGGGGGCGGGGGGCGGGGGGAGGTGGGGGGGGGGGGGCGCGGGGGGCGGGGGGGACTTGGGGAACGGCGGGCGCTTGGGCACGGGGGTGTGTGGGTGCGGGGTGGGGGGTGGGGGGGGGGGGGGGGGGGGGGGGGGGGGGAGGGGGGGGGCCGAGGGAGTGGGGGGGGGGAGGGGGCATCAGGCGGAGGGGGAGGGGCGGGGGGGGGAGGGGGGGAGGGGAGTGGGGGCTGGGCGTGAGGGGGGAGGGGGAGGGGGCGTTGGGGGAGGAGGGGGGGGGGGGTTAGGCGGGGGGGACGGTGCGGGCGGTGGGTGGTGGGGAGGGGGGCGGACGGGCGGGCGGGGGCCGGGGTTGGGGGGGGGGAGGGGGGGGTGGGGAGAGGGAGGGGGAGGGCGGGGGGGGGGGGGGGGAGGGGGCGGGGGGGGGGCCAGGGGGGGGGGAAGCGGAAGGGGAGGGGGGGGAGGGGGGCCGGGGGGGCGGTGGGGGGTGGGGAGGGTGGGGGAGGGGGGGCGGGGGGGGCGGGGGCGGGCCCCGGGGGCAGGAGGTGGGAGGGGGCGGGAGGGGCGGGGTGGGGGGAGCGCCGGGGGGGAGGGCGGGGGAGGGGGGGGGGGATGCCAGGGGGGGGAGGGGGGGGGGCTGGGGGGGGGGGAGGGCGTGCGGGGGCCCGGGGGGGGGGGGCGGGCTGTGGGGGGGGGCGGGGCGGGGGGCCGGGCGCCGGGAGAGGGGGGGGCGGGGGGGGGGGGGGGGGGGGGGGGGTGCGGAGGGGGCGGGGGCGAGGCGTGGGGAGGCGGGCCGGGGGGAGGAGGCAGCCACGCCGGGGGGGGGGAGGAGGGACGGAGGGGGGGCCGGGGGGAGAAGGAGGGGAGCGGGGGGGGAGGGGGGGGGGGTGGGCGGGGGGGGAGGGCGGGGGGGGGGGGGGCGAGGGAGGGGGGGGGTGGGGGGGGGGGGGGGGGCGGGGGGGGGGTATGGGGGGGAGGGGGGGGGGGGGGGTGGGGGGGGGGGGGGGGGGGGGCGGGGCGTGGGGCGAGGGGCGGGGGGGCGGGGGGGGGGGGGTGTGTTGTGGTGTTTGTGGGCGTTTTTTTTTTTTGGTGGTTTTTTGTTTTTTTGTATCTCGTTTTTTTGTGTTTTTTTTTTTTTGTTTTTTTTTTTTTTGTTTTTTTTTTTTTTTTTTTCTTTTTTTTCTTTTTTCTTTGTTTTTTTTTTTTTTTATTTATCCCAAAAATTTGTGTGTTTTTTTGTTGGTTTTTTTTTTTTTGTTTTTTTTTATGTTTCTTCATTTTTTGTTTTTCTTTGTTTTTTGTGTCTTTTGTTGTTTTTGTTTCTTTTGCTTTCTTTTTTTTTTGTTTTTTTTCTTTGGTTTTTTTTTTTTTCCTTTCTTTTTTTTTTTTTTTTTTTTCTCTTTTTTTTTTTTTTCTTTTTTTTTTCTTTTTTTTTTTTTTGTTTTTTTTATTTCTTGTTTTTTTCTTTCTTTCTTTTCTTTTTTTTGTTCTTTTGTTTTCTTTGTTTTTTTTTTTTTTTTTTTTTCTTTTTTTTTTTTTTATTTTTTTTTTTTTTTTTTTTTTTTCTTTTTTTTTTTTCTTTTTCTTTGTTTTGTGTCTTTTTGTTTTTTGTTGTTTATCTCTTTTTTTGTGTTTTTTTTTTTGTTTCTTTTTTTTTTTTTTTTTGTTTTTTTTGTTGTTTTTTTTTTTATTTTTTGTTTTTTTTTTGTTTTTTTTATTTTTTTTTTTTTTTTTGTTTTGTTTCTTTTTTTTCTTTCTTTTCTTTTTGTTGTTTCTTATTTTTTTTTTTTTT